AGGAACACAATTTCTCTGTGTGTGTCATGCCTGTTAGATCACAGGTTTCAAAGAAACGTTTGCAAATGATACACCTATGCATCCCCACTCTCCCATAAAACTTCTCTCTCTTTGAGATGCACTTCAGGAATTGAGTTTCTGACCTCATTTTCCAGGTCACAGGCAGGAGGACAGAAGAGAGGTACAAAAATGGAGAAGTAAGGCCACAAGATGTGCTTTTTACAAAATTAATACAGAAACCAAAGCCTCAAAACGAAATGACGAACAAAATGACATAATGTCTTCCAATAAAAGTATACATCCTGCAGGTTGAAATTATGTCATTTATACTAGTTGAATGCTCCCTGATTGCACAGCTTATTAAAGAGCAAGGACTCATTACGGGCCAAAAAACTGTAATCAGACAGAGTTGATGAGGCATTGTTGTTTTCTGCGTGTCCCTATATTCATATTTTGGAACTTTGTTACCAGTTAAGATTGTGAGATTGAAAACTGGAGCTACTGGAGCAGAAACGTGAGCACTTCTTTCGCTAAATAATGCATACTTCTCAGGAGGCTTTGGATCTTGTCATTTCTGTAAAAAACCATGTGTAGGTACACTCTGTCGTTGTAAATGTGTGTAAAATCACCCTTTGACAGCTACCATTATAACAGAGCTCTTCCCATTGTTCTCAGGGCATGTTATTGTCTCTTGTGTGTGTTACTCGAATCCACCACCTACTGCGTACTTCTTCCCCACTGAACTGAAAGCCTGTCAGCAGCCATTATTCCAAGCAAGACCTTTTGCTGTGATCCCTGCCATGTTTCATCGAAGCGTGGCATTTTATTCCAAAGCCCTCTGTCTGAGCATGTTAGCTACTACTAAAATTATTGCATGTGAGTGTTTGTGTGTGTTTGTGTGCGAGTGTGCACACGGCTATTCTTCTTTTGCCCCTAACTCTTGTCATTCCTGTGGACGAATACCAGCAAAAGCAGCTGAGTGGACAAGATTGCCTCGCTCCAGTATTTCACTATTTCACAATGGGGTCTGGATTGCGTATATGCACGCGTCTGTGCGCGCACGAGCGTGAGTGTGTGTGGTTAAATAATTAACACTGTTTGTCGCCTTGCTGCAACACATCGCTCACACACTGATCTGATTAATGTAGCCCCAGGAGATACACAGCACCAGCCTAGCCTGCAGAATGAGAAATGCTACATGCACGTGTGTGTGTTTTTGTGCACACCATAATAACTTTCATGAAGGAATATCAGTGAGAAAAGTCAGAAATCAGCTCAGTCCACAAATCATCATTTGAGACAAGACAGAAAAGGATTTGTATGACACCGAGTCAGAATTATGTGCACGCAGTCCTGATCATGCATGTGCTCATTCTTTTGGCCTGGTGCCTGACAAACCACTTCAATTAAGCAAGCTGCAACTGGCACAACAGTAATGTCTTTTACAAAGGAACTTTTTTGTATAATGCACCTACACATGTAAGGAACATTTGATTTCACATATGGACTATTAAGGGCAACAGTCTAATGTTGGCAGTCCAGCTAATTTTTCTCTTACGTTGTTCATGCTTATATATGATGTGTGCTGATGTGTGAGGTGTTGCTGAGAATCTCACACAATGTTGAGATGCCGAGGATTGACGATGGGGATCCCGGACCTGGCAGATCCCCCTGGTACCTCTGACAGATGGTGATAAGACATATGACCGCAAGGCAGCTGTTTGGAGCGTGGCTCTATGGTTTGATTTTTAAAATTATTCATAAAATATAAACAAGTCCTACAAATAAAAAAAGAGGACCTATACAGACACTCTAGCATATAGAATAGTTAGTAATATATAAAAGTGGTTGTGACTGTACTTTTGTGATCAGGGCTCCTTGACTTTGGAGCATGCTCTCTGAGCAGATCCCACATGCAGAGTCAGTGGTTTCTTCTTTTTTTGACTTACTTGTGTTGTCTTCTTTTAATCTTTATTACAGCTTTTATTCATTTTTTCCTTCACTGGTATTTATTTATTTATACTTTTGGAATGTTTTATTTTCTGTTCTTTTCATTGTAAATTTATCTCACTATAACTGGAATTTTATCTCAGTCTTGTTTGAGCTTAATGTTTGGCTTTAAGATTCATTTACATTTAGAGGATGCATTTTTAATTGTCTGTAGACAAGTGTTATTTTCTAAAACAAACAAAAAAAAACAACTAACTTTCTAGTATTTTATTTTAAAATTTAAATGTAATTTTGATCATTTCCTTTTGAAACCTGTTTTTGTAGGCCGTGTACTGCTCTATGTCACCATCTGCTGGTGAAACAAAAAAGACACTAGTCAAGGTTTTCAGATTGAAAATTGATATTAAGGTCTAAAAGCCCAACACTGATGATCTGGTCTCATGCTGAGTTTGCACTGAAGGGATTCAGACTGCTGAGTATAAGCAGCACTAATTATTAGGTGCTTGAGAATCTGTGTTGGTTACTTAAATGAGGCCACACAGGTCTGCACACATAGTGGGATCATCTGTTACGCGATGTTGTCTTCAGTCGTCCTTAAATCTAATTCCACCTTTATAAAGCTGTGCCCTGTGGTCTTAAAAGGATGCAGGTAAATGCTGCAGACTAAATAATACTCATTTATACTGCCCCAGCACCCTAAACATATAACTTTTTAATTCATGTGCCCATCTTTTTATTATTATCATCATTATTATTATATATTTATTATTTAAGAAGTCTTTAACTTTAATAATAACTGATTATTAAAGACCAGCATATCATATTTTAGGCAGAAACTTTTTTTTGTCAGAGCAACATTGGCTTTCATCTTCATATTGTCCATGAACATCCAGGATATTGCCCACAGATTCTGGAGAAAGATGATAAATATTTAACTTTGTTGACTTGCTATTCATTCAGCTTATCTATTGCTTGAAGCTGGAAGGTGGCAGACAATTGGTCTTTAAAACAGCTGCTTGCAATCATCCAAAAGAGCTCCTGCAGTAAGAGTGGCCCAAAAAAAAGTAAGGTTGCAGGTTATAAAATCAAATAAAACAGGGTATATTTTTACAGTATTTTACAATAATAACAAAATGTTAGTGTAGTTTTAAGTTCATTGATAAATAAATAAAACTCAAACATTTCAAGGTCTGATAGTCTGCACGCAAATATTAAACTACTAGGCTTAGCCTAGCCACTGTCATTGTTCTGTCACTTTTCTTATGCACTCTACTAAATAAAGGTGCAAAACATTGATACACAAACGTTGCTTAGCGCCACCTGAACATCCTGTTCTCTTATTTTCCTGGCAACCATATTGCCATCGAATCACCTCGTTTCCCTATCAATTAAACTAGAAGCCTTTAAGGCCAAAACGCTCTGTTCTTTCTTGTCCTCCATATTGATTTGGTTGGTGCACTGTGCGGCCTGCAGATTGAATTAGAGTCCAGCTGAATTGAAGCTTGAGTGAGGAGAAGCTGTGCTGTGTTTGTCGATAGGGCTGGTAGCTACCATAGAGACATCTATTCTGACTTTATAAAGCATCTCACATCATGCTGAGAGATTATTTTATACAGTCTACGGTTTAAACAGTTTCACTTAAATCTAATGACTGTGTGAGAAGGTCACTGTGTCAGGTGTCATACTAAATACCAAATGCCCAGTGACACACAGCTGACAGTAAACTTAATGTGAGTAAGCTGATGGATGCTCAGCATTGCTCGCATCATGTTCTGAAAGCAGAAGTCAGGGTAAACTGGATACTGCAAGATTTGGTGGCAGTCCTGTTTATTTTTAGTATTTCTTTTTTAGTGTTTGCCCATGTCACATTCAAGTTAGATCTTGACAACATAGACCTATGCTGCAGTGTGCTTGTTGCTGTTAATGGCTTGCACCAATGAGTCATAGCTTAGCAACAAGCCTGCTGGCCTATTTTTGGTTTCAAGCAATTATCCACAATGTAGTGTGTTGGTGCGGTTCTATGACACTTCCAGATTGCGGCTATAATGAAGGGAAAAGGTCTGTGCCCTCATCTGATAAGTGCCTTCAAGGTTTTTCAAAAATATTACATATCACTGAGGTTGAATAATAACATATGAATTATACACCACTGTGTGATTACTTTCACTATTTTAGTGTCTTAAATGGAACCACGGAGCTAATGGACCTGTCTTCTTATGATATTCTGTAGAATTCCCGCTGCATAATTTCCACCTTAATGTGAAATGTAAACCAAGAAATTTCAGCCAACAAGTATCGATCAAAAATACTCCAATCTGACTTGTGGCTTGGAAGCTGTGAATCACATAAAAGAAGCACTGTAATATGCTATAACTTAATAAATCCACTTTCAAATTTCCTGGGTTTGCATTTGCATTTCTCTTTGCTATGACCTTTGACTTAATATCCGAATTCACAGGTCACGGCTGTTTACTTGCAACAGTCCTGCTGACTGATCTTTTGATGATCTGCTTTGCACACCACCTCACATTATATTGTTTTTGGACGGGTTCCTATCAGTTCTTTGTTGAACCACAGCAGCATGAAGAATATCTCGGTGAGCTTGACTGCAAATTTTACTTGCCGCATCATTTCTCCAAACTGACTGCACCCTGTTGTAGTTGCATCTCTCCTCATCTATCTGTGCAACGGTTTACCTCGTTCCTCTCGACATTTCTGCAATTCATCCTTTTTTTCCGTCCTCCCGCTAAACAGATTCTCCCCCTCACTCACACACTTCGTGTTTCAGTCTGAGATGCTGTCTATATTATAAGCAGCACTTGTGGGATGATTCTATTACATGTCTCCTAGCTGCTGGATAATTCAATAAGCACCACTGAGATGACACACAGTTATAATCTACTTAATGAAGCTACTGAACTGATGAATTGTGTGCCTTTTTGCTCCTTCATTTCACCCCGTACCCTCCTCTATGCTCCAACTCTTTCCACCCACCACCACCCCCTGTCTCTTCCTTTCTTCCCCTCCTTCCCTCCTCTTCCTCTTTGCAGGGTGTTGATGGAGAGCAATTCGAATGACAGCCGGGACTGTGGTCATCACTGGTGGAATTCTAGCTTCGGTTATATTACTCCTTATCATCGCAGTACTGTGCTACTGTAGGCTGCAGGTGAGACTTCATCATCTGTTTTGTTCATTCTATTTACTTTTTGCAGAACTGCAGGTAAGAGATTGTACTTTGAGTTGTGTAATTATGCTGCTTTAATCTGTAAAACTATGCTAATGCATTGTCAATTGCATCTGATTCTAGTGGAAACGGAAAACCAATTGAGAGCAAGGTTTTCAAAAAAAAAATTTAATTACACAACTGATCATTCAAAACATAAAACGGACAGAGGACAAAGACCCCCGGCTCTGTCAGCCCAGGATTAGAAACTCATTACAATTATTGTAAGTTCATCACAATTTGAACAATCTTATTTCATTTTTTGTTACCAAACAAATTGTATGAAAAACAGGAAAGGAATCTTAGCAATCACCTAAAGTAGTTTTCAGCGGTCTGTAGGCGAGCTAAAAATCTACCTAACGTTGTTGGCTGCTGACACACATCAATACTGGCATTCATTTCCACACCTGTGCAACTGAGCAAGATGTGGACAGCAGGCAGAATGGCAAAGATTTCAGTAGTGAACCACAGCCTTGGAGTACAGTATGTGTTGGGACACGTCTTTCTTTTCTCCCTTCAGAAAGTAGAGACTGTCATTTTTGGCACAGTAACAACCATGCCTCATTTTAGCAAGGTAATAAACAAGGCCAAGTGTTTGCCATATGTACTGACTTGGACATCTTTAAGCAGTGGTTGATGAGTTGCTGCTGAGGTAGTTGTCTTTCCCGTCTCTGCTGAGGAGCTGTTAAAGTGAAGGTTGAGCTCTTGGATGCCTCCCTAACAATCAACTCGAGGAGGATACCTGGTGGTTCCACTCTTCTTTCATATCACAATTATTAAGGCCTAAGCTTTATAAATGGTTTTACACATTTGCTCCTTGTCTCACAGAGAATTCCTCAGTTTTCTCGATTTTCATGCTAACATTCAGCATTACCTGTGGGAGTTTGCCACAGGTAGACTTCCCTCAGGTTCTAATTTATCTGAACCGGTTTTGTCGTGCAGTAGCAAAATCATTTTAATTAAAAATATGTTTTCATTTCTCTCTTCAAAAGAAAATAGCCCCCAAAATCATTGTTATTAAGTGTGAATTAGTTAAATTCATATTACGTGTACAAAAAGTGTAGGGGCCTATGAATAGTAACTTAGTGTGTGTGCTGTGGGAGTGAAAAGATGAATAAGAAGCAAGGTTTAAAGCTTCTCAGATAAAAGCACTACATAAATGCAGTCCATTTACCGTGATCCTCTGGGAACCCAGGTAACATAGCTAGAAGGGAAACTGTAAGATCCTTTCCTGACAACATTTCTCTGGATCAAAAGTAATCCCCAAATTACAGCAGATATTAGATGGCAAGATGCCAGGAATTAATTTGAAAGCTAGGTCATACCACAACCATAATACCTCAGCTGCAAACTGGAGTCTGTTTACAACACAAGAGAACCCCTCAAGAGATAATTGAGTGATCATTGAGACAGCTCTTTCTCGTGCACATTTGACATCATTTGGTACTTTTTCTTCTTTCTTCTCTCGTCACCACTTTTTTCATCTTTGCCCATCTCCCACTTTTGTCCCTCTGTTTCTATCAGTATTATTGCTGCAAGAAGGAAGAGTCTGAGTCGGAGGAGGAGGAGCCAGACTTTGCCGTTACATCTCACCTCCCGCCGGTTCACTCCAATCACAACATTGTGGCGGCTACAGCCGCCGCCTCCTCCATCCCAAATGGCCCTGCCCTTTTTTCCACCCCTCCAATGGCCAGGAAACTGACACGATCGCAGACCTTCTGCCCATCCTGTACACACTATGAGATGCCTTTCTACCTCCAGCCACCTCAGCCGCAGCTCCACCACCAACCAGATGGGTTGAGGAACGGAGGGGACCGGATCAGCTATCGCAGTGTCCAGCAGCAGGATCTGGACCTGCCAGTGCCTGTAAACATTTCAAACTATCGTAAACCAAACCTTGCCCGTTCAGTTACCATGAGGGACATGTTCACACGCAGCTGTAGCATCAGCACTGATGTTTAGCTGGGTAAGGTTTAACTTAGTTTAAGCTGATTCTTACATTCATCTTAATGGCCTGGGCTGGACTGGGCTTGAATGAGACTGTGTTTTTGTCGTCTTGACCTGTGTAGTCCGATCTAGTCTGGTCTCATTCTACCAGTCACTTTTTGCAGAATGGAGGACTCAGCTGGCTCTCAGGACAGTTCTTTCAAAGGTACTATGCTCAGGTCCTCACACTTGGGCCAAGACAAAGTGTTTAAAATATTAAATTACCAACAACATAAACTTGTTTTGAATCTTTTTTTTTTAAAGATTAATTAATTTCTTTTATGATCTGATAAAGTCTGTGTTGCCCTACTTCCTCTGGGCTCCTCTACCGTGGCCTGTAGGATAGGCAGATTCATGATGTGTCAAAATGATGTTCAGTAGGGATTTCTCTCTTCCAGAGCTGCTGCAAACAAAATATGATTAGGAAAAGTCCAGTGTTTCCCTCTCTTATGATGGGATTATCTGTCTGGTCCTCCATCCACAGATTATAGAGGTTATGAAATATCACTCACAGCCAGTGGAGGAGGGAGCGGGTTGTTGTGTTTAGCTGCCACCCCGCAGACATTTTCGACAGACGTAACTTATGCCATAACATTTTAAGACGTAAAGGGCTCACAGAAGATTTCCCTCATCCTTTCATAGAGTTGCATAGTTTGACAAAAGGCTGGTTTCTTGGAGCATCAAAACACAGTGTATATACAGTATTTTACACTTCAGAAGAGAAAAATCTCTGCATTCTTGCAGGCAGTGTGGACTAGGTGCCAAAAAGGTTTTTGATCTTCATTTGTGTGCATATATGTGAAGATACCGGCATGTGTGTGTGTGTGTGTGTGTGTGTGTGTGTGTGTGTGTGTGTGTGTGTGTGTGTGTGTGTGTGTGTCTCAATTAATTGTTAACAAGTTTTATTCCATCCAGTTATACACAACAGGTCATCGATGTGTACAATGAACCCAGAGGTGGGCTGCAATAACATTTTATTGTAAGGGGTGAAGCGATTATATTATTTCTTTAACCTAAATTTATCTTAATGCAAAGAATGACCCAAACAGATTAAATAACAAAGAAATGGATTTGCAACTATTTTGTACCTGTTTATTTTACTAATTAATGCTATAACACTGACTCAGTCAGAAACACAAAACATTTTTACAGCAACACCGTAAGCTTACAATGTGAACCCGATTATAGTTCTTCACTGAAGTTAGTGAACGTTCAGTACATTCTTTGTGTTCTGTCTGATTTATTGATGTATGGATTCCTGGGCTAAAGATTCACCTTTAAAGGCACATCTATAAATATTTAAGAGGCCATAACATACACTGTAGTCTCTCCCCTTTCTCCATTCATTGGACTGAGGAATATATGCTCTTGCTCCAAGGTACTCAGTGCTCCTTCTTGGGATTGTTTTTATTTTCTGCGCTTGGCTGACCGGCCTGGCTGGAGGGCTAATTTTCTGACTGGAGGAGCAGTTGGTGACTTTTATGGACAGAGAACACACTAATAATAAGTTAAATCATTTACTGCTTGAATTCAAAAGAGGAAATGCCCGTGGTTGTGGGAGGGACTTGAAGTTGATTGGATTGTTCTTTCTGGACCCACCTACCACTCTCTTGCAAATGGATGGTAAATGCTGTTGTACTTCTTCTCCCTTTTTCTGTCTTTTTTTTAAATTACTCATTTGTTTTTTCCAAACTGTGAAACAGTGAGTAATTTGAGTTTTTTTTAAGTTTTTTTTCCTTTGTAAAATGTGCTTTCATGCAAATACACTAAGCCACAGTACACACGTTTGTAAATCTAACTTTGCGAGGACATTCATTTACGTTCCCCGGTCCCTCATCCTAACTGTCACAACTAGCTGCCAAATCCTTACCTGTGTAATCTGAACCTCATTCAACTCATAACCTTAAAGCCAAGTTAAAACAACAAGTTAAAGTTGAAAAAGCGGTGAGGGGCACAAATGACGTCCATCCCAGTACTCTCTCAATTTTAAACTTGTCCTCACAAAGATAGCCATATAAGTACACTCACACATGCAGACATGCAGACACACACAATAGTTCTCAATGTTCTTATTTTTTAATCTAAAACTATGTGACAGTTGCACAGGAAATTTAGTGCCATAAGGAAGTATAGAAGAAATTTATTATTATTATTATTATTATTATTATTATTATTATTACAAGTGTACAAGTGTATATTGAAATGCAGTGTTGCTTTTACCTTGAAGTATTTGAATTACTTGCTTTATTTTATGATTCAGCTGGTTTTTCAGACTCGGTACAGTACTGCAGAAAATGTTTCTGTTCTTGTTTCTAATATATAACTGACAGACACATTGTTGCTAATAAAACAGTATGAAAATCTTCCTTTTTCTCATTCTCATTCATCTTCTAGATGAGTCACAAACCTCAGGGGTCATTTACCGCATTCATATTTGTGCATGAAGATGCTTGCGTCGGTGAACTTTTATACAAAATTGAGGCTTTTCAGAAACAGATTTCATTAGCGTGCATTTAATGTAATCAGAATGTGTATAGCACACTGGACACTACTAATCGCATGTGATCTTCTAAATGCAGGTTAAATATCAGCAAGCCGAAGCGCTTCGTGTGGAGGAGAATTCTCCAAGCAATAAATGTAACTAATTTTGTCTTGCAGGAATAGTTTTGTTGAGATTGCTCTCTAATGGAAAATTATTTTTTCTTTGTATTTCAGGGTTTTTGTTTTTTTGTTTTTTTTTTAAACAGCAATCTAATTCTGTTTCATTGGGTGTGTATGTTGCCAGTTTGTTGTTGAAGGACTCAATGAGCTGACATCTGTGGCTTATATTGGCTCAAAGAGGGATATTATTGTTATTGCCATGGACCATCTGAAAATTGTGCTCTCTAAAGCTTACATGTGTAAATATATCTAAAGGTGAACCACTGAACTTACTAATATTGTTTTTCAATATCAATTTCAGCTATGCAGCAACAGATCAAACAATAGCATAAGAAAGCAGTGATTCCTGCTGAGGCTTGGACTACAGCAGGAGCAATAAAGTCTGTTTATATACAGGTTCTGTCTGCCCTTAGGCAACAAGGTGAAAGCCATGACAGCAAACACAACTTAACGGGAAGGGTAACAAGCAAGAATCAGGAGCAGTCAGATGAAAAAGAAACAGTTAGAGGCTAGGAGATGATGATTAATGAAAAACCGTTCAGACATGTAGGCTAAATGATACAAAAAAGAAAATGCAAATCTTTATTTGGGCAATAAACTGAATGAGTCAGAGAGGCATGGCAAGTAATCATACAACGGGAAAACAACTGAAAACTATTTCAGAGAGGAAATAGGGGTAGTTATTAGAAGGATGAGTCAGAGGACATGAATGAAAAATAGCACATACCACAGAACACACAGACAGATGGAGGCGTAGAATAGCTGATTTCCAATCCAGAGCTCCCTGGCTCAGACATGAATAGCTATTTTGTGATGGCATTAACACAACAGAACTGCTTCAGACATGAAAAACCTTTCAGATTGTGATGGATTCCCTTTGATGTGGATATATATTCAAACTCCTACTTATTTCTACATGAATTGCCAGCACTGTAACAGGGAATTACTGTCACACTAGCATTCCACCCACAAGACAAACTAGCAGGAGATGTGTTTTTTTCTCTTTACAGTCAGCATAATTTATATGTAGTGATACTAGCACCAACAGAGACAATAGTGGACCATAAGTTGCACGGCAGCTGGATAGCAAAAAGCTTGATTTGCAAAGGTTCAGTGATGGTGTATTTATGTTGGTTTGTTATACATTTACATTTTCTAGAGGGAAAAAAGGCTAGAGTCTGATCAAATTTGATCTCATTTTCATGTCAGCATTACTGCTTATGGAAAGGAAGAATAATTACAGATCAGCTATGAGCCCAGCTCTGTCAAAAGTGAAATCAACAAAGGCACGGATGATGGTCTGAAAAGCTAAATATAAACAGATTTCACTCCTTCTGCAAGCTGCCTCTAAGATTTATTCTAATCAAATACCAAAAATCTATTTTTGAATGGATCCCTTCAGGCTATTTATTTACATCTGTACTTGTGCTATATTTGTGTAAATGAGAGGTTGTGCAAGCTATATGAATTATTTAGAGGAATAATCACCTGCAGCGTAAGTAGCATGGCCTTTCAAAGTTTATTGATGTTTTATAGTGTGCTTTGCATCATCCACTTCAACCAGGAGCAGTATGCTCACTCTAACGTACTCTGTCTGTCCAGTGAATATCTGCAGATTTCTCTTACTCTGTGCCTATGTTACGATCCCTGACCCTAATTCCCCAGCAGGAGGAGCTGGGAATCCATGAATTATGAACAGGATAGATGGGAAATTTTCCAGCTAATATTCCAACCCAAAGCTTCTTGCCTTTTCTCTTTTTCCTCCTCATTGCCCAAACTGTCATGTTCCTTGCACTTCACCTTCCTATTTCCTTTTTCTTCTCCAGGCAGACCTTTTTTATACTTCCTTTTCTTGGGGCCTGTTCCACTATGCTTTCTTCTATTTATCTTATAGGATTGAAGAAAATATTGGATTGAAGAAAATGAGATTTAGACAGAAAAAAGTTAGAAAGAAAGCAGTTAGTTAGAGTCTGTTGGAGCTGCCGGCATCAAATGATGCACCCATGTATGTCTCCAATAAAATTCACACACACACATCAGTATTCTTGAAGTGTGTAGGTGCACTTCGGTCCAACAACTCACATTTGAAATGGTTGATTTATTACAGCAATAGGTTACACTTCGAGTTTGGTGTCCAGGCACTGAGCTCATCACTCCCCACAAATAAGATGCACATAGAAACTGATGAATAAATAACCCTCCACCCCAGTGCTCACAGGTGGATGCTGGGTTGGTTGAGGGAGTGAAACAGCACCCCTTGCATCGCTGCATGGTGTCAGAGGGAGAGATGAGAAGTTCTGCAGCTTCATTACACTGCCAATTTGGGAGGGTGCATTTGGTACATGATGAGAGGAGAGTCTGGCATATTCGTTTTTATGATACAGTGCAGTACAAGTTGCCTGCCTGAGCTAGTTTAGATGTTTTCTTTGGTTTTAAACATCGACACTATGACCAAATGTGGCAACTGTAACCAAATATTGCACAGCTGGTTGCTCATAAGGTATTATTTCTTGTAAATATTCCTTTATATTTTCATCCCTAAGACTCTCTGCTACCAATGTGGACATCACACTGGCTGCTAGAAATACAACCTACATTTAAAACCAACCATGAATTGATGAAACACTTTGCTCAAAGTATAATTATAACATACAGACATACACTGGCATTACCACTGTTATCTTGCTATGAAATCCAAGCAATTTATCATTAATGCAGTAATTTGTATATATTCCCTTAAATTAACAAAACTTAGACTTGGAGATAAATGATCTTGTCGGGAACAGAAACACACATCACTCTCTGATTTTTACTGCTGTGTCAGAGATAGGCAGAAATAGACATCCTCCATAAATCTCTCTTTCCCACACGCAGACATGACTGCATGCTGGAGCCATTACTGCCCAGTGTGTGTAATATTGCAATTTCTGAAAGGAGGAAAGGGCATTCCTCCTGTCTGAATTTTTCATTCCCCATGCTCTCTGTTTCTGTATAACAACCAATAAATAAGCAATGAATCCCGAGGACATAACACAAAATGGACTGGATTTTATGTCCACCACACCCCAACATCAGCTCCCCCTAGATACACAATTTGTCTGTCTTTCTCTTCCTGCTTCACCTGCTTTTTTGTCTCTGTGAAGACTTTTTCTATTTGATGTTTTGTTTTTGTTTT